GTAAAAACGAGACTCGCGCTGAATCTTAACACCTGCTGGTGCATCATTATCTTTTAACGAGCGCGAGCGCGCGCGCGCGCGCATGCGCACGACGACGACCTAATAACTATTTAAATTTATACACGATGTCGGCGGATAAGTAATTACGCCGGGCAATGCGCGGAACGGGAGAAGACACTTTATGAGAACGAGGTCGCTGAGCAGATCGCTTTCTATAAAAAGCTTATTTAAGTCGCTTATAGCCGATCGTCTGCTGCTTTATTACCGGCGATACCCTGCGCAAGACAATAACCGTCGGGGTAATCCCCCTGTGGGGGCGTGAAAGAGGAACGAGCGGGAACGAGAGAGAGAGAGAGAGAGAGAGAGAGAGAGAGAGAGAGAGAGAGAGAGAAAGAGAGCGAGATAGGGAGGGAGGGAGAGGGCGAGGGAAAGAGAGGGAGAGAATGATAGGAGGAAATGGCACGACCGAGCTAGCCGCAAACAACGCAGAAGCCGAGGTAATGACGGGTTACTGACAAACGATACCGCAGCGGCAATTATACCGGCGGGCTCTGCAGCCCCGATATGCCAGCCGGAGTGCCTACGCAGAAGCCGTGTGTGACGCGGTCCATCGATATTAATTGATAAAACGAATTTCAAATTACTCCCGCGGCGTACGGCGATATTTTACAACTCGTGGAAATCCAGCCGGACGAAGTCTGACAGCGAGACAGCTCGCGATCGCGATTGTCCGCGCGCGCGCGCGCGCGGCGCAGGATGGAAACTGGTTTTGTCAGCCATTTTCAAATCAATACGCGAGCTATCGCGAGATAGATCCGCGGCTTTCCCGTCTCTCTCGCTGGGCGCGGATCCTTTCAACGATTCGGCAGTCGAAATTGCGCTCGGAGCTCGCGACACTTCGCGCGCGCGGAGATCGTTCGCGTGATCGACGTCAAAAATGGTCAACAGGCTCTTAACTGGCAATGGAATCGTGTGAACACGAAGTAAGTGAGTAATATAACGGGTCGAGCAATTCCACGGGATAACTTGAAGTAGTTAGTTACACGGTATATCAACCTTTTCGGTACAGCCGGCGGCGGCCGAGAGCGATAGTCGCGAGAGCACTTGTGCGCGCGAAAAGAATTTTCCTGGAGGATATTAACATCCGTGCTACTTCATCCAGCTAAAATATACTCGCACGGAATCTTGTATCAAAAAGTCTACGTCAAAATTATACTTCTTTTTTATAATATTCATATAATATATAATTATATATGTTTAATATATTTTTTAATTTTATAATTTACATTTATAACTATACATAAAATATTATTTTTATATTTGTAATTTATATATATATATATATTTAATATATATTTTATTGTTTAATGTATTTGAATATACATATATTTTTCGATGAAAATCTCCGTATGGGCCAAGAAATTACGAAACTTTTGTCGCAATTTGTACTGCAACATTTTGCTCATACATCATTCGAAATATTCGAAAGTAGTACAGGAAACGATTTTGCACACGTTATGAATTTTCATAGTACTGTAAAGCTCAAAAGATGCATCCCAACAAATTATTGATTAATTGTTGCTACAAGACGTATAAGCTGCATAAAGAACGATGACATCAGCGTTCGTACCGAAAGGGTTAAATTCGTCCCTTACACATACACATACACACACACACACACACACATACACACACACACACACATATACACAGCACGTACATTCTCATTTGATTAAGATTCAGGTATCAATTCGAGTAACTACACGGACTAATTTAGATCAGATTTATCTTCCGTCTGAGCGCAGATCTTGGCTACGAGCTCTGGCGACGTTCTCATCGGCGTCAGTTACAACCGATCTTGATTCCAAGTCCATAAAACCAGTCAACGAAACCGAGATTCGAGTCAATTTTCGCAACGCTGGTAAACGTGGGACCAGACAGAGAGACATCGGCAAATTTTCATACATGACATTCTCTCGACGCGACGATGGAAACGAAAGCGAAAAGAGACATGCGCACGATCTCGCGGACCGATCGTGTCGGGGGATAATCATAGCAATCGGCCGGCCAAACGGAGAGAAAACAGCGGCATTATCGTCCGACACGCGCTCGTATTTCCAGCCGTGTAATTCCCCACGAAGCGGCAAATTTCATTACTTCCGCCCTTTCCGGTTACTTCCGTCGTTAATGCGTGGCTCACGTATGGCGGACGCGGCTCGGGAGGAAGAGCCGGATTAATTTCTATCTGCGCCGAGTCCGCCGAGACGGAAGAACGATCGTCCCCATTAAGACGACGACAACGGATCGCAGAGTCCACGTTTCCGAGAGATGGCGATGCGCGGACTGGCCTAATTCGCTTCTCGATATCAACGCGACGCATTCACGCGTTACCGCAGCGGCCTGGTATTACGCTAACGAGGTTGCCGCGGATTCACGCACGTTACGCCTAAGCGAATTTTGCCGGGCAAACGTTCGGCGAGACCCCGGCAAATCGGCGGATTCAATCGTGCGGCACACGCACGAAGGAATCCGAGGCTTCGCGCAAGATCGATAATCGAATGTGACTCCGCACTATGTATACCCCGTCGCTCAATCAGGCAGGCTCTTGCCGATCAGAGGTACTTATTCGGAACGATTTGACAATCAAATTCTACACCTTGGCGCTTTCTTTATTCTCTTTCCCCCCGTGGCCATCACAAATTTCATATTATTCTTTGCCGTTCGAATGTCTCTTTCTCATCTCTTATCGTTACCGGGTTAGATCTCTTCTTTTATTTTTTACGATCACGGCAGCGGTGAATAATTCTTTTCGAAGGTGTGGCACTCTCTGAGAGATTGTTATTTATTTAGCCGACGACTGCGTTCGCGTATTTTGCGGTTTTTGGGGTTGACGATACGAGGGACGAGAGCGTCGATGAGCAAAAGTGAAGCTCGAAGCGTGTAAATTTTGAACGCGGAAGCTCCGCTGGCTATGGGAATCGAAAGTTTCGAGATAACGTTCAATCGTTTAACCGAGCGAGGTTTCGCGAGGGTCGAATTGTTCGAAAATTGAATTACAATGGCGTATTGCAGCAAGATTAAGCCTGCGTCGGTCAGGATCGAGTCGGGCGCGTGAGCGGCTTAATTAAGAAAAGATTGAGAGCATTTGGCCCAACCGAGTATAAATGAAGGACTGGAGCTAAGACCACAGAATGCTGGAACCAAGGTTACGTCGAATAGGGTTTACGTGTCAAAGGACCATACTGTTGTGCAAAGCGGCAGGCAGTGACAGCCATATTTCCCGTAACCTCCGATCGATAGGACTGTACGCGTGTGCCGCGTCAGACTGTGACACCGTGAAGCGGATTATAGTGCAAAATCCAGCCGCGATCAAAAAAATACACGCGAGGATTCGCTGAAAAGTGGGATATTTTTTTAACCGCATAAGAACGAGATAAACTATATATCCCATGACACCGCAAAATGGTCGCGCTGGCAGGTCGGGTTTACCAGAAAAGCGGCTGAGTAACTGATCTCTGTTTTCGCAAATAACGATGCGTTGCTTTTTTCCTTCCTTTTTTCTAGTATCGTAAGACGGAATAAAAATGTCCAGAGACATCGACTTTATGGTCGAGAGGTCGTTGCTTAAAATAAACTTCAAGGTAGAAGCTTCAAAAATTTCAAAAAAAAAAACGCACCGTTCAAAGTCCGAAAAGCGGAAGCTTTGGTTGATTATTATATGATGACAAAGGAAACCGATGTAATATGCGTTCGCGCTTTTAAAAGAGTATAAACGTCCTATCGAAAACACCATTTGATGGGAAAGTACACGTGTAACAATGATGAAACGGCCGTTGAAGTGACTCGAGCGACGTTTCATCGATAGTCGGTGATTCAAGCAGGCACACGCAGGTGCGCGCCTCTCCAATTAATTTCTTCCTAATTCACCTGGCTCGGTCACGTACGTGTACTACACGTATTAGCGAAGACATTTACGTTTGAGCGAAAACCGACGAGCGATACAGGGCTATTAAGCCGCACAGGTGAGTATCCTGCGCATTCCTGCGGTGCCGGCGACGTAACCAGATTATGTGGCATGCATAGGTGAATTAGCAAGCAAATGTTCGGTAAATTCGTTTGTTGGCCGATCGATATGTCGTGGTATCGGTATCCAGCAAATTCGATTGGCCGAATAGCGATCGAGATGCTCGACTAGCTGAGTGAGTGAGATAGCCATGCCACGAGCAGCGGTATGGCAGCCTAATTCTGACCGAGAAATTCAACAAACGCAATTAAATCGAACGCGTGAAAAACCGCGGATTAATTCGCGATCCATTCGACATTGCTGTAATTCGTCCCACGAAAAACATGATCAACGTAAAGCTGTGTAAAGCTGCCGAAAGAGAGCTGCCACCAATACGAGTCGCTTTCAATTAATCGCGCCCATTGGTAGAGAGAGAGAGAGAGAGAGAGAGGATATCAGTGGAAAATTACAAATTCGATATAATACCAGGCAAGTCCCGCGCGTTTCGTGTAAAAGAAATTATTCCAGATGAGGGAAGCCCGGCGATTTTTCGTCCCGCCATTAATCTCAATCAGCCACGCCGTATAATTCACTTACATTCGCCGACCAAAGAGCACTTCGGGAGAACGTTATTTACCGTCGTTTAAGTAACATTTATCTCGCTCAACTTTATACTCGGGGTAAAGCGCGGTAACGTCGTTGTGAACTTGTACGTTCTCCTCGCGGGCACGACAGACGTAAGAAATGATCAGGAGCAAAGTGTTTTAACGCGCGAACACTGTTCAAAGTTACGATGAAGCTCGCGCACCACTTGAATGCATTTCCTCGCCCTTGCCCTCTCCCTTTCTCTCTCTCTCTCTCTCTCTCTCTCTCTCTCTCTCTCTCTCTCTCTCTCTCTTTCTCTCTCTCGCTCGCTCTTTCTCTTCCTCCCTTGTACACGTACATCAAAAGTTCGACTTCGGGGATCCATTAAACTTTATCTCGCTACTTGACTCACCGTTTCGCTGAAGTTGGCTAAAGAAATTCCACCGAGAGGCGTCCCCCGCACTACGGTTTTCCACCTTCGGTCCTCGATCCTCAGCGCACCGTGTAACACATGAAACCGACACGCGACATCTGCACAGGTACGTCCACTGTCAACCCTACGAGACTACGAGAGCTTCCAATGCGGAAACGAAAACAGCGAGAGCCGGCTGTCGCGCGGAAACCAGCGGAGTTTCGCGACAGGTCCGATTGACCGACCGGTTTGACAATTTTCGATGTTCTCGAGAACACCAGCGAGCCGCCGCCGCCGCCGCCGCCGCCGCCGCCGCCGTCGCCGTGATCCCCGTGCGAGTGTCGCGCACCACAATACCGGTTTCGTGAAAGTGGATTACGCGCGAGCGCGCGCGAGTGGAAGTGAAATTACTAACTGCTGCCTCAAAAAGAGGAATGTTTGACATTTAACGCGACAGAGACGCGGACAGACTGTCGCCTTTGGGAAGAAAAGGGAAAAAAGAGTGTGCCTCTCCGTACGCGAGCCGTTTTAAAACGAATAATCGTTGTCGGCCTGGCTTTTTAATTTTATATCACTCCTCCTCTCCTTTCCAATCCCTCCTTTCCCCACCGTCAAGTGTGCCCTTCAGATGAGTCGAGTGGCGGTAAAAGCCGGATTTTTAAAAGTCACTACATCTCCACTTTAATCGAGAGCGTGAAAGATAAGACTCGTACGCGCGTACCTGCCGTCCGTGGCGTTGTTATGCCATTTTAATGTCGCAGGGGTTTTAATGTCGCATGGATTATACTGGGTGACTCGGGTATGGTAATCCAAGCAAGTTCTTTTGCTTCACGCGAAGGCGTGAAGGACAGGATGTCCCGATCGGCGGATCGTCGAAGAGTATTGCAATAGCTAATTAAAGTCGACATTACCTTGACCGAAAAGTGACTGTGTGACGAAACACGTTGAGAATAGATAAAAGACTCGCAAATAGCTTCAAACGCTGGAATGCTTAGCGGCGCGAAACCACTTGCGAAATCGACACGCGATTAGGATTCGAATATATTTTATCCTTGTTTTATATAAAAAAAGAAATGAGGGGCATGCGACTCGCCGTAAGTGGCTGTCGTCGAATCGTAAATTCGAGTAACACGGACGAGTGTCGATCACAACGTCGCGAATATTACGAAATATTCGCGATTGTATCATCCGCGGATCGTCCGCCGGAGAATTTATTTTTCACGATCTTAAAGGTGATCAGCGGCGATCTTAAAGGTGAACGCTAAAACCGACAGTGGAGCGCAAACTGGAAGCTGAATGCGAACAAGTGCCAACGGCCTCGAGTACGGGAGACTGTCGATTTATCGAACGAGAATCTCGCGTTTCGATCGCGCGTGCCAATTCCTCGTCAAACGAGAGCTGATTTTGATTTGATACCCGCCGAAATTCAAGCGTGGCCATTCGTTTAATGTTAATCATAATGCGACATTTAAACGACGCTCGAGCAACGGACTGTAACGCGTTCACTTCATTACGTTACGCTCTATGAAATTATAATAGACATTATGTTAGATAGATTATTCATCAAATTACGCTGCTCGCGGATTTATATTTAATACGCTATTCCATAACGATATATATATATATATATATATTTCTTTATTTATATGTGTATATGTATATGTATATGTGTTTATCGCGCGATAATAGACGATTCTAATTATGCCACGCCAGATGTAAAACACCGGTGCGCATTTGACAGCTTGAGTTCAAATTTCTGTAAAAAATGTACACCCGCGCTCACTTACAACCGCCACGACGAGCTAGCCTCTCGACTTGCTTCCCGAGATTCACAGTCGAGTGTCCGTTTATTTGTTTTCAGAAATCCGTAATCTACTCCAATTTCAGCGTATTGCTTGCTGATTTACCGTTACTACATTTTTCAGTTTGATACGATTCACTTTCGGATTCTACTCGAGCCTTTTTTCGAGATTTACAATTTGTTCCGATCCGCAGCCACTCTCGCGTAAAGAATAAAGAAAGAAGCTCGATCGAACTCGCCGGAAGGAAGTTTCTAACCGTCGCGTTCCATTGTCCGGCGACATTGATAATACCCTAGGTGATGCCTAATTCCTGTGTACACACGCGCAGCGGCACGATCGGTATACAAGCGCGATCGATCATCTACGGCCAATCGGACCCTATGTAACCCAGGTGCGGCCAAACAAATTATTTCCTGCCGATTAGCTCGGCGATCGCTCGCGGTAGAGCAACGCGGCGGGCTTAATACAGTCGGCCATCGAATTAAGGGGACTGCAGGGTCAGATTACTGAAAAATCGTGCTTGTTTTTGATAATATTTTGTGACTAACTGAATAAATGTGCAGGAATGAAAATTTTACATATATTTATATAACATGTGAAGAGTAGAAAAATTTTGTTTTCAAACAAATACTCATATAAATATACGTCCATTTAAATTTTAAACGCGTTTCTCTCGAAATTTTATCGTTCAACTTTTTGCAGCGATTTCTCCGAAACTGGGCTTAGTATCGATTTGAAATTTTTAAGTAATAATATTTGTTCATGTGGCTCTTCAGCTGAACCATGGACAACTCCGTCAAAATATTTCATTTCGAGATATTAATTTTTTTATTGTAAAAGAACTGAAAAATTTGCATTCTTTCCTAATAATAGCTGCCATTTGTTAATTTTGTTTCGGATTTTTCTTTTTTATAGTGCTTCACCGGATAATGATAAGTCTCTTCAAGATTTCTAGCTGAAATTCGCTCTGATCGGACCACGAAGAGCCGAGATATTACTGCAAAACCGATAACGTGAAAAAGAAAGAGTATATTTCAGCTGTGTATATATCGTATATTTATACGAGTATTTGTTAATAAACAAAATTCTTTTACTCTTCATATGTTGTACAAATATACTTAAAATTTTCATTCCTGCACATTTATTCAGTTCGTCACGAAATATTACCAAAAACAAGCACGATTTTTCAGCAATCTGACCCTCCACCAGTCTCCTTAAATCACACGCTTGCGCTTGCGACGCAACGGCGCTTTCCGCTCGATCGCGACGCGCCACTTCATTCGCGAGCGGACTTTTTCGGTGATATAATCTGCCCCATTACGCAACTATATTTTACACACACACACACATACACATACGCACATGCACACACAAGATGCGTAAACGCAACCACTCGACCATCGGCCCGACGATTTTTCGATGACTCTTAATTCTCGTGTGAGTCAATTTGAAATTCCATCGACGCGCGAGGATCCGAGAGAGGCGAGAGATGAGTTAGAAAGAAAAATGTTATTGTTCTTGTCAACGCGACGAGTAAAGATTTTTCGCATCCACCTTGTTATCCTCCCCGTCGCTCGCAGCGCTCGCGGCGCTCCACAGCGCTCCGGAGTGCTTCGAGATTTCGGCTCAACCAATTAATTCCGAGGCTAGAGCGCGGCGAACGCAAATTTTGGGACGACCCTCGGAGAGAGCCCCGTAGGAATTCCATTCAAACCACCTAGACAATTATCCCGGTCTATCCGTTTATACGCTTTAGTGCTTGACGCTTTATCAATACCGACGCGACGCGACGCGACGCGGCGGCGAGCGGGCGGGCGCGAGTGTGCTGCTGGTATATTGAGACGTTAATTTCGGCATTGTTACCAGGAACAATCTGAGACGACTGTCATCAATTTCAATCCACGTGGTATCGATCGGACTACGCCAGGAGCGAAGTTATCGAGGCCGACGAGCGAGCGCGATCGCTGCGCGCGGGAATGAGTCACACTGCGAGAAACTCGACGGAAATCCGGCGCGAGTCCGCTCGAGGGAACTCCGGGAACGGCGAAGAACCTCGAGAACGAACGAACGAACGAACAAACGCGAACGTGCGTGCGTGCGTGAGTACCTTCGACGAGAGAGTACTCCGCTTCCGCGTGCGTGCGCTATTTACTCAAGCCGTTGCACACGACGAGCGACGAGCGACGAGCGAGTCGAGCGGCTCTCGGGGGAACGGAAATGAAAACGGCTGAGAAGAAGGACGAAGGACCTGGCGCGACGATTCGCCAGGTGACACGCGCGAACGACAATTCCCGAACGGACACAGTCCCCGAAGAAGCTCAGCCCGCGCTGTACCAGATGGAGGTCTACCGAGACACTGGCGACTTCTCTCGCCACCAGGACATTCGCCGAGTCTCACGCAGGTTGAGAGACCAAGGAAAGAGAGAGTGAGAGAGCGAGCGAGCGAGAGAAGAGAGCGCGGTCTTCTCGCTTTCTCTCGCGTTCACGTTGCTCAGCGCTCTCGCTCCCTCTCTCGCTCTCGCTCTCGCTCTCGCTCTCGCTCTCGCTCTCACTCTCAGGCGCGTATACTTTTCATGATTTTCTCCGGTCTCCCCGCCGCGCGGGCTCGTTCCGGCACGTGGGGAGAGAGTGAGAGGTCCCGTGAATGATTTCGCGAGGGCTTGGCCCGAGCCGGCCGCATATATGTCACGGTGGCGGATATATCGAAGGAGTTGTCTCTCCCTGCGAGAAAAATCTTGCCGACGTTGACGCTCCACGGCCGCTCGCGGTGGACTGGCTAATCTGTTTGACGTTTCTTCGTGCCGAGATGCGTATCCCGAGTGGCGGTGCCAGACGGCCGATACGAGCGTCGGTGGACTCGAAGTCCACCGTGTCGAGGTGTCGCCGCTGTAGAAAAATGTAGACCAAGCAAATAGCGAGCATGCGAAGCCGCTTTCTTTAAATTAAGAACGTCGCGTGTCTTCGGTCTTCAGTCCAGGTCGACCAAGTAATCCGATTAGGTGTCTCTGGCCCCGCACATGTCGCGCTCTCTCTCTCTCTCTCTCTCTCTCTCTCTCTCTCTTTCTCTTTCGAGCGACTCTGTGCAATCATTCTTCCTCGTAATCTTAAACGCGCAAATTTCTTCTCGGAATTCTGAGCAGCCGCGGCGCCTCCGTTGAAGATATAAGGCTCGAACGTGTAGAGGATTTTTCAATTACGTTCTCAGACTCGTTGCGCCGTTCGACCTACGGTTAAAGTCGCGCTTGTTGCGCCGTTACGCGATCGACGCGAAAATACGAAGCAAAACGCGAGCACGTCTCCCGGTAATCATGTGTTGCGCGAGGCCGCCGATAAGCCGTTCATCACCGACTCGATGCAGCTGAACAAAACGTATAATCACGAGCGACCTTTATCAATGTTCCCAGTCGCGCAATTCCGCAACACCACGGGGGAGAGAGAGAGAGAGAGACAGAGGGAGAGAGAGGAGAGTGAATCTCCTCTTTTCCCATTTCTTCTTTTTCCCCTCCCGCGACACGGCATTCCCGCGTCGGTTCGCCGGCGCAAGAAGCGACCCGGGAATCTCATAACTTCGCTAGAAGACTACTGCTGCTCGAGAGCAACAAGGAACTTCGCCTTCAGCCATCATAAAGTATCGCCAGCATCGCTATATACAAACGATGCGCGCGCTCTGCTCGCCGTCGATTTCGCTGACCCAAAACGCGACGGACGAGCCGCGCGCTCGTCCTCTCCAGCACGTCGCTCGCCAGACTTTTCAAAGGCGCATTAATCTCCGACGTTTTCGTATCGGCGATCTGTACCGCGATGACCCGAGCTATTGCGCAACTCTCGGCAATCCCTAAGCCTCGTGAAAGTACTGTTCGTTCGTTAGAAGAAATGAGCGGTTAGGATCTTAACGACCCATTTCCTAGAATCGTTTCTGACGTGCGTTCTAATGAAACGGAGGAAATCATTTCGAATAAATCAGCCGACGGACCGCTTCTAATAAAAAACAGAGAGAGAGAGAGAGAGAGAGAGAGAGAGAGAGAGAGGGGGGGGGGGGAATTTCTGACAGAAGCGGAGCAGAAGGAGAGCGAAGATATCGCGAAAACGACGATCCGCTCCGCGATCACACTCGAGGCGTATTTAAGTTTGCGCACGTGCAAAAGCTCGATCGGCATCTTTGATACGGCGCGCTTTCAGAAAGCGAGTCTCGCGCGACTCAACCTGATTACTTTCCCGTTCCTCGTCCTCGTTCCTTCCTCCAGCCGCCTAGATACACTCGCGTCGATCGACGGCCGCGAACCGTTCATCGAGTCTGCTCCGCATCGCGATGCTTGGCTCGACCTGCCCGCGAATTAGAAGCCTACCGCGCGAGATCACCGGCGGGGCAAGAAAAATTGCCGCTTCCGCGGTCGCTTCCTATTCCTCGCGATCCTTGACGATCACGGTGCTTTCGCCTTGCGAAGGCAACACCGAGCGCGTCGCGTGCGCGTGCGAGTTGCGAGGCTCGTTGCGAATAACAATGCGACGAGATGCTCCTCCTTCGGGAAGGCAAGACGGACGCGAAAATCTTACGAAGCCGCGATATATCGAGATCGCGGCACGTCGCGTCGATCTGTATGCTTGAAAATGGCGCAACAACAAAACAGCCCGCTGAACGGTCTCATAGAGCGCGGCTACTGCGCAGTTGGCGGCTCGTTGAG